ATATGCTAAATATTTTATCAAATATAGTTTTAGTTAATACATATTATTAGTAAAGATATTTTAGAGAAGATAACTTATTATAAATAATTAATTTAACTATTTTTTTGGTTTACTCATATCAGTTAACTAATTCTTATATTAAAGATATTAGTTAATTTTTACCACATATACTAAATTCTTCAACCAATTCTTCCTTCCTGCGAATTCTTAGAAGAACCATTAGCGGAAAAAGAGACGGAATTCTCGAAAGAACCAAAAAAATTGATAATGCGTTCATAATTTGATAGTTAAATTAGTTAAGTTTTGCAATGAAGTTAATTTTGTACTGACACGAAATTAATCCAATCTGACTTGGGTTGAATTGATAATATCCGAGTATTTGGAAACTTGCGTGAAAAATAAAAAAGCCTTCAAAATCTATAATGAATCCACAATCCATGCGAATATAATGGCTCTTCCACTGCCAGCTTGGTGCATCATCACTCTGTGCGTGTGAAGATTCAGTGACTGTGTTATTGGCGAACATGTCTTCCGACGACGAGAGTGGTGAAGAGTATCTCTTCAAAATCGTCGTCATCGGCGACTCCGCCGTCGGCAAATCCAACTTGCTCTCTCGCTATGCACGCAATGAATTCAATCCTCACTCTAAGGCCACCATAGGGGTCGAGTTTCAGACGCAGAGCTTGGAAATCGACGGCAAGGAAGTCAAGGCTCAGATTTGGGACACCGCTGGCCAAGAGCGATTCCGTGCAGTCACCTCTGCCTACTACAGAGGCGCTGTTGGTGCTCTCATTGTCTACGATATCACCCGGAGAACCACATTCGAGAGTGTCGGTCGCTGGCTTGATGAGCTCAAAAGTAAGTATTTTACGCTGCAATGCTCATGATTTGACCTGTGGGCCTTATCTGCTTGTTATTTCCTAGTTGATTGAATGATTGTGCTCGTATTGCTAATAGATCTGAGCTTTATGATGGCTTCAGTTGACTTAATTCAGAAGAAAGCCAGCAATGAAACTGCTTGAGAAAGATACAGGGAAAAGGGAAAAGGGAAAACGAAAAGGCTCCTTGCTTCTAAATTCAGGAACTCATTTTGTCAAAACCGTTTATAGATAACATTAGCGGCACCAATTTTTTTTAGATGCTTTGCGAAATGGCCTGTGATGCTGATGCTGCAAAATTTCCCACACAGATCATTGCATGTCATTCTAGGCGTAGATAACTGAATTCTAAAATTTTGGACTTACACAGAAGACTCGATGGGGCACTATTTGAAAGTGTAGGTAAAGATTTAATATGTAAGGAACTATGTGAAGATGGAACTAATCTTGATATGATGTCATTACACAAATTCAGTTTCCATCTTCACATTGAATTCTATTCTGGGATCTGATTGGATTGGATCCTTTGATGGTTCTAGTTGGAAAAATGACTTTCTTTGTCTTTGTCTTTTTCTCCTTTACCATACCGGTTGCCAACTATCAGTGCTTGCGATTGTTTCCCTTTTCTCTAACTGCTGTATACAATTAGGACAAAAATTCAATTCAGATACTGCAAGTACCTTCGATTAGGTGAGGCATATATAAATAAGCAGCCTGCGCATTCTTCTCTAGTTTTATGGGGTTGCTTTGCAATAAAAACATCACCTTCACTTTTTATCCAGTGAATTTTATTTTAGCACAAAATATTCCCTGCAGCATGTAGGACGGTTCTGCTAAAATTGTAGGGCCACCAGTAAAGTGCCTCTCGTTAGAAGGTTCTCAGAAAGGTGCAATTTACTGGGATGCTGAGTATTTTTAAGATCGGGTTGTGGAACCTTTTATATTCTTTGACATTGCGCAGCAGAGGCATCAGGCATCCCTTAAAATTTTTGAACTCTATTTTACGTAAAAAGTTTTGGCATAAACCTTGCAGTAAGTTAGCAAATACCAAAAATTTATTCCTTTATTTGCCATATCATCCTGAAATGTTGACAAAAGTGCTAAGTTCTGGCATTTTGTACCTTTACCATATATGAAGAAGTCTTTAGTGAAGATCACATATAAGAGTTCAGTGCACTGTATACTTAAAGTATAGTTAATCTTTGAGCTTTATCTCTGTGGTAGCCCGCCTTTCCACAAAAGATAGGGAGCAGGCTGGGCCCCCCATTCCCCAGCTGGCAAAATTTTGCTCCCTAAGCAACCCAGAAGGGGAAGATAAACAGTTAATCTTGAACATATTATTCTCTAGCTGTCAACAATTTAAGCCTTTGGTTCAATAACTTCCCCTATTTCTTTCTTTGTTCTTTTGCTGTCACGAGGTCTTTGTTTTTTATAAGTTTGTCCGCTATTTCCTTACACTTATTGTTAAATGTCAATGGGTTTGTGGACTTTGTGCTCCTTTAAGGTGGGACCGTTTGTAAATTAATTAACGCTTAGGAGTTTTCATTTGAAGGAGGAAGGAAAAAAATAACCCCTAGAAGTAAATTGATCTTATGTACTACTTACGGAAAACATGTAGATTTTACCCTTCATTATTAAAATTTAGAGTTTGCTTGTATTTTTTGAATCCTTTCTGGGGGGCCATTTTGTTATTTTTGTTGAACCCTTTTTTTTTTTGGTTGCATTTAGATTTTCACCCACTATCACCCTGCATGTAGTCTTGCTTCTCTGTGAGTAATCCTGGTATATGCTCTCATTTTTGGTTGCATGATTCCATCATTGCGCTTAATAATTCATCTTGTGATAAAAAATCGCGAGTATATGGTTTTCACTAGCGCCTATTGTTCAAACGATCATGCTAAATATAGTTATGGCGGGTGTCTTGTATGCATGTCTAGAGTTATCATATTGACATTCTAACAATGGTACTGTGCTTTGTGTGACAAAAAAGAGTTTTCAGCTGAGATTTTGTTATCAATAATGCAACAAAGTGCCATGCAAGATCTCCTCCTGTCCTTTTCTCCATGCATTTTCTTCTTCTGAATATAAGTTTCATGTATTGTGCGTTTTGTGGAATTCTCACGGTCTAAGCTTACCACAACTATCATGCAGCTCATTGTGATACAACTATAGCCATGATGCTTGTGGGCAACAAATGTGATTTGGTGGATATCCGGAATGTGAGTATTGAGGAAGGCAAAAGCCTTGCAGAATCAGAAGGTTTATGCTTCATGGAAACATCAGCCTTAGACTCAACAAACGTTGATACAGCTTTTGAGATGGTCATTCGTGAGATATACAACAATGTCAGCAGGAAGGTTCTCAACTCCGACACCTGCAAGGCAGAGTTGTCAGTCAACAGGGTGAACCTTGTTAATGATGGTACCAGCGCATCGAAGCAATCCCAAGGCCATTTTTCTTGCTGTTCAAGATGACCTCCATTCTTATTTCTATACAAGTTGGTTTGTTAATTCAATTTGGTGCTTAGTTGGCTGGTTGATCAAATGGGTTGGCTTGTTCCTTAATGCACATGATATAATTTGAAAGGTGCTCTGCTTACAAAAACAAGACATGGTACAGAAATGAAATTGTTATCTTCAGCCGTACGAAAACAAGTATAATTTTATAGTTGGGATACAAGAAGCTTGTAGCGGCAATTTTCATCAAATTAAGACATTTATCTTTTAAATACGTCTAGAGAAGATTTCACATGATATCTAGTGTTTACTTGTTAGCAAAATTTTGGTTTCACTAAAGAAGAGCCTTCTGAGTTTTAGAACAAATTCTTCTTTTTTCCCCCTGATTCTTGTGTTTTTTTTCCCCTCTCTAATATATTCTGGGAGTTCAAGAGAGGATGAAGTTGGAAGTTTTGGAATCTAGATCCTCATTTCTAGAGACTCAGGGATATGTCAGATAGCAACAGACCGACCATCTCATTTTCAAGAATGGCATTAAGGTAGTGTTTGGTATGAAACATTGAAAATGGGGGGTAGGAATTGGAATTGAGATTGACAAAATAGTATTTAATATGAGAAATTGCTTATTACATGAGATTAAACAAACCCATGTATGTGGGATTGAGGAATATCATGGAACGAAGTAGTATTTCCCAATCCCACTTCCATGGGCTTGTCTAATCCCATATAACAAGTAATTATTCATATTAAAGACTTTTTTGATGATTTTTTTCAATTGCAATTTCAGTCCTTATCCCTCGTCTTCATTGCTTCGTACCAAATGGGACCTAAAGGTTATGAAAAGTTGCCAAATCCACTACCGAGCGTTGCCAAACCAATTCAACCTCAAGAATTATTAGAGCACAGAAAAGTTTAATACTCCCTAAATGGCCACAATCTTGCCCACAGATTTTCCTCCCAGATATTTATGTTGAAATTTACCTCCATCCATTGAATTCTACTTCTTTATGCATGATTCACTGAACTATCTGGTTGCTTTCATACTAGAGGGCACTATTTATTCTTTGTTCCTTGTTGTCTTGGAGGACCATATAACGTATTATATACTTTTGGATCCTCTGCAGCTGCGTTGTATTGCTATGGGAGGGAGAGTTATACAACTTATTTGATTTATTTCTATATATCTTAATTATTTTCTCTCTACTTCTCTCTTACAAACTCCAATTTTAAAGAGATCAAACTGATTTGAATTTAAGATGTTGGTTTTCTTATGTTTAGTGATGGTTATAGGAAGAAAAACTGGCTTCTTGCTTTTTGTTTTTTTTTTTTGCTCCGGCTCTTATAAGTAATATTTTTTCCTCCATTTATATTATGATTAAAAAGTTATAAATTTAAACCATGAACTCAGTTTTACTGTACTATTTTTTTTAAAAAAAAAAAACTTAACATGATGATCTCCTGTTTATCACAAAATGGAAGAACAAATTCTACCTATTGATATTGGGTCACCCTGGAATCAAGTGGATGACCCACATCAGTATAAAACTATAAAATATAAAATTTGTATTGAGGCCTGCTATTTATAAATTATGAACCAGACATCTTATTTTTTAAATTATATACAATACATAAAAAATGTCTAGTTTATATAACTTTGACGAAAATATTCATGCCCCACTGATCTTTCTTTTATTTTTGCTAAGTGGTTCCTGCAATAAAATTCTTGGTGGAGGGTCAACTGTGGGTGTAAGGCATGATTGTCAACCCAACAACAAAAGCCAACCGACCCATCCTTCCCTCAAATCCACCACCAGAAAAGAAAATATATTAGAAATTGAGGGGGGGAAAAGCCCTCAAAAGAAAGCTGAAATAGAAATCCATTTCTGTCATGAACTACCACGCACAAAGTTTAAATATATGAACATATCTATTGAAAGCTGGGGCAGGGAGGGAAAGAGAGTGAGAGATGAACTAAAGATAAGCTGGCCCATCATGACTCTAGTGACAGCATATGATGGCCTCAGCAGCAATTTTAATCTTCTAGAAGCTTTTTTTGCTGCTAAAGAATTAGCAATCAATCTTTCTTTTCAGCTCCTACTACTTTGATTGCTCCCAGAGGATGCAGATAATGACGTTGAAAAGGATACCATCCTATTTTTTATTTTTATTTTTCTGATATTTTCTTCTACTATCCATATTACTGTTGAGATCTCCAATATCTCCCCATCTCAAATCCATTCTTGCAATATTGATAGTCCTCTATGGTCTTTTCAATCTCAGACTGTGTATTCATCACAAAGGGTCCATATTGAACCACTGGTTCATTTAGTGGCTGGCCTGCAATCAACACAAACCTCAGAGGCTTTGAAGATCTGTTCCAGACACTTAGACCATCTCCAAGGGTCAAGACCAGCACATAGTGAGCCGCCACTGGTGAAGAACTCACAGACCCAAAAACCCCTTCTCCTTCAATCACATAAACAAAGGCGTTCCATGATTCTGGAATGTTCTGATGCCATTCAGCTCCTGGGCTGAGAGAGAAATCAAGGAACATGGTTGGGGTTCTGGTGTAAACAGGTGAATGAACTCCCATTGCTTCTCCTGCTATAACCCTCACTTCAACCCCATCTTGTTCCGCTACTGGTATGTCCTCTTTTGGAAGTTCTTGATAATTTGGTTCAATCCTGAAATAAAAATTTTAAAACCCACTATTATTTATGTGGCACGGTTTGAGTTAAAACAAGATCAATATCAGTTCAGGTGAATTAGTGGTTCAAATTTTGGTAATTTTTGCTGTGAATGGATCATATTCATTAATTACATCTTATCTTTGGAAGATAAATTGATCCATAGCTGCAATCCCTTGTGGGTTCCTTCTCCTCCAGGCATTTCGGAGTGAATTATTCCTCTGCCTGCGGTCATCCACTGCACATAAATTACAAAAGGAAACATGCAGTGACAACAATCTAGTTCATCATTCTTACTGATACATAAATTTTCCAGGGGAAAGAAAAATGGAAAAGAAAGTATCAATCATGCATGCACGTCGCTTACCTGAACATCACCTGTTCTTATGGTACCCGTATGCCCAGCAAAATCTTGATGAGTTATGGCTCCCTGATATCAGCGAAGGCAAAAGAACAGGGTCATATAGCTGTGGTTTTTACCTTTTTGACCATAAGGTCAAGGGATCAAATAGGTTATAGGAAAATGTAACTAAATATACCTGCAGCATGTATGTGACAGTTTCAAAACCTGCAGGCGATGTGTAACTCAAAATATTAGCAAACGTATTATGGGAATTAAATAGCTGCAGAAATTGAAAATTGAGCAGAGAACAAATAGAAGGGAAATGAAACATAGTAGAAAACCTCTGTGTGGATGGTCAGGGAAACCTCCGGGTGGAGACACTGCAAAACAGAGTCAGACAGACCACACGGTTTTAAAATACTAGTAATAAAAATATCATGGGCCGACAGCAACAGAACAAAAGAAATAATGAAATGTGTCAACCAAAGTGGTCTTCAGCGAGCCAAGTAACGCCAGGAACGCACCTGAGAAGTGATCCATCATCAGAAAGGGATCCAAACTCTTCAACTCGCTCCTGATAATTTTAATTCCAGTTGCCCCCACCAAATGAAATCAGAAAACCAATCCATACCCATTTGACGAGAAAGAGGAAAAGAAGAAACCGAGGAGTGAAGCGAAATGGAAAAATGAGGGACACAAAAATGCCCCCATAAATGAAATCACCCTCATGAAGCGAAACAACAATACCTTCCGAGGGCTCTCCTAACAACAGCACCATCACCTTCATGTTGAGATTTGGCCAACACCTTCTTGAGAACCAACCTGGGCGTTTCGAAAGCCGAAGATTGATCTGATTGTGACGACATGATAATTGGGAGAGATGAAAGTGCAGAGGCAGTTGAAGGAGGAGGAGGAGGAAAAGGCCGCCAATTGAACAGTGAAAAGCTGTGCCTGATGGCTCTCATAGACGGTAATCGTGTGCGTGAGAATAATGCGTGTTCGCTAACGGGGATAGGTAGATGTATAGCTATATATCTATAGGTGTGTGTATATATAGGGAATGGGAGAGAATGTGGAGAGAGGGGAAGGAATGCGAAGCAAGGAGGGAATAGGGGTTGGTTGGGTCTGACATTTGGAAGTCGGATTGGAGGCGTGGGCGAGATGGGAATTCACTTTGGGTGTGGGGCCACTTTCTATCCTTGGACCAATGATAATGGTGATGTCAAGCTCTTGTCATCGTGATGCTGGCGCTCCTTTCGACCCTTCTGAGAATCCGCATTTTCCAATTCGCCACGTGTTCTTCCCATGAGACGCCACGTGTACAAGGACCCATCGAGCATAACGAAGAATTTTTCGTGCGAGTGATACGTCCAACCACGTCAAGATTTACATTCCAGTGGAGCAAACAAGAATCAAAGTGCGTTTCATAAGAATTTGAGGTAAAACCTCATAGGCCAATACTAGCTAACACTCATTAATAATGTCAGAGGAGATTTCTCTCGATTTATATCAAAAAAATTTTAAAATATTTTTTTTTTAGAATCCAAACACCTCCTAATATTACCTTTTAACACACGTTTATGGTACTGCATCGGGTCGATAATTTGTATGAATTTTAAAATTATCCTTTCATTTATTAGGATCCATTTTCTTTAATCAATTAATTAATGGGAAATAAATAAAAGTATTTTTAAAAAGGGAATCGACGCAGCAGACAACTTTTGAAAGGAAGAAAAAAGATAAATTTTTCCTACAAAAAAGTACTAATGGGAATAATTTCAAACCGGAGTATGATAACAACAGTTACTAAAGTTAGTTTTCTGGGAATAATTTCAAACCGGAGTATGATAACAACAATTACTGAAGTTAGTTTTCAAAACAGTCCTCAATTTCCCATCGTCAATAATTTTGTAACTCAGCTGGCAGCTCAGCACCTCCTCCTTTCAGGACAGCTCGCGCCCAATGAGCTTCGTTTGTATCTCTGGGCCACGGTGCTCAAGCCCATTGTTTTGGGCCAAAAGAACACTCCACTCAAGCCCACTTAAAGTGGCCCAAAAGTTCCATTGCCCAAATTCTCCCCCGCATAAATGGTTCACCAAGCATGAGGATTATCTACGGATGATCAAATAGGTTACAGTCTTCCCCATCAGGAGGATTAAATTTGTGCGGGGGAAAAATTAACGAAGCACTAAGTAAAATACTACATGAATCAAACATAAATCATATTTAAGAATTAAGATACATAAGAACGAAAAATAAAGTGCCCCTTTAGTTTTACCAACCACACAACAAACGTTGCCCAGACCAACATGCAACCTTATTATCCTCATTCACTTTATGCAAAATATAGTAAATACTACATGAATAATAATACTCGCGTCATCATCAGACTATTTCTGATACAAGCCTCTGACTCAGACCCCACATCACGAAGACCTCCAATGCCTGCCATTCTCAAAACCATTCTTGCAATACTGGAAGTCCTCCATGGCCTTCTCAATCTCAGAATGTGCGTTCATCACAAAAGGACCATACTGAGCCACTGGCTCCTTCAATGGCTCGCCACCTATCAGCAGAAACCTCAGTGGCTCAGAAGATTTGTTCCACACGCTCACACCATCTCCAGGCCCCAAGAACACCACATTGCAGGGTCCAATTGGAGATGAGCTCGGGGAGCCAAATACTCCTTCTCCTTCAAGCACATACGCAAAGGAATTCCAAGTCTCTGGAATGTTCTGGTGCATTTGGGTTTGTGGGTTGAGCTTGAAATCAAGAAACATGGCTGGAGTTCTCGTGTACACCTCTGATTGAACCCCTAATGCCTCGCCTGCTATCACTTTTACTTCAACCCCATCTTTCTCTGCTCTTGGAATGTTCTCCTTTAGCAGATCCTGATACTTTGGTTCAATCCTGCGGTGCAAATTTCAAACCCCTTTTTCAGTTGTGGCACGAAGCTTTACTCCTACCTAGCATGCATTGTTACTTCAAAAAAGATCTCTGTTTGTGTTTGTCACACTAGAATAGATGTGAAACCAGTATTTAAGGTTCTAGTTCAGACTTAGCTTACTCTGGGAATTTAGACTCAGCCGTCTCTTTAAACTGAACTCAAGTTTTATCTAAACTCAATCTTCAATATCAGTTCCAAATCCATATTGAACTAATCCACATCTAGATGATCCAATAGACTAGACCGTCCTAGATGATCATCATCCCAAGGGTACAAGTGAAAAATAAAGGAGTTTTTACATTTTGTCTTTCTTGGAAAGATTGATCCATAGCTGCACTCCAGTATGTGTGCCCACTCCTGCAGGCATCTCAGAGTGAATGATCCCTCTGCCTGCAGACATCCACTGCACAAAAAGGAAACATACATGATAAATTGACTTGTTTTTCTGCAGCAAAAGTGGTTTGATCTGGCGAAAACGACAGGCATAAATGATCCGTTTATGCTACTCACTTGAACATCACCAGCTCTTATTGTTCCTTTATTGCCAGCAAAATCTTGATGAACTAATGCTCCCTGAGATCCATACAGGTAAACAGAGTCAATGCCAAACTGTCCAACTATTTCTCTCCCTCACAAATAAATAATCAAACAGGTCATGGGCTTCAAATATGTGCATACCTCTAGCATATAGGTGACAGTTTCAAAGCCTGAAAATAACAAGCAGATAAGATATCAAGAAGTGGACTCTACAAGGTATACAGATCCAGCAGTGAAATAGTGAATACTAAAAACCGATGCGCAAGTTAAAAAGCAAATGAAGTACCTCTATGCGGATGATCAGTGAATCCTCCAGGGTAAGTCACTGCAGATTCAAACAATTCAACGGCTTAAAATTCTAAGACTAGGGGCTAACAGAACTAGTAATTAAGACCGTGTGCCACAATCCAGAGTACCTGAAAAGTGATCCATGTTCAAGAAAGGATCCAAACCCTTGAACTCGCTTCAAGAATCAGATACCGCCAAAGGGAAATGAGAGAAATCATCAGTACCCCACATGGAAAAATAACATTAATAGCAATAAATATCATCAGATAGACATTAACAGCGAAGGACTACCTTGCAATGGTCCTGTTAACCATTAGACGACTTCCTTCATTTACATTTCTGGCAAACACTTTCTTGAGTACCAATCTGGGTTTGCTAAAAGCAGGCGATTCATCTGACTGCGACATGATATTTCTAACGAAGGAGAAAGTTTTTCTGCTGTTGATGCTTCTAAGGCCAGAAGTAGAATTAAAAGAATCACTCCAGTTGAATCCCAAAATGTTCCTTATGGCTCTCATAAACTGAATTTATGTGTATGCTTGATCCCTCAGGTTTGGATATAAATATATATCCTGCGGGATGCTGATTTTCAAATTGTTGTGACGCAGTGAAGTTGAAAATAGAAGGCCTGCTTTGGACCAAGTAAACGATGGATGATTCTTTTATCATTAAATTAAGTGGGGAAAAACAAACGACACATCATTCCTGTCGTCATAACGTGGGAGATCCCGGTCACAGGTCAAAAAGTTGAATTCTTGATCTTCTTATACCAGGTAGAAATAGTATAAATAAACAAATAATCCCATAGCGTAAAACAAACGTGATTTGAAAATAGAAAAATCTCAAAAAAATACCTTTAAAATTTTAAATTTTACAAAAATGCACTGTCATTTACTTTTTAAATATTGTCAATTTTTATCAAAGTGTCATTTAGAATTTTAAAATTCAAAATTATATATATTTTTTGGGATTCTCTCTTTGAAAATTATGAACATAGCAGAATATAGTGAAAAACCAGAATAAAGATACCGAACTTTCATGTGAACGCACGGCGCTGTTTGAGAAGGTTCTTCTTTCTATGGTCAAAGTATCTTGTGTTTTACCATCCAATGATACAGCTGTTTCACAGGTTTCTTCGTTATGGTTAGAAATTAAGGGTTGGATGAGATATATGAACAATTTTAATCATATGTCGTTAAAACTTTTTTGTTTTTCGCGTCTTATCTTAAAATCGAAGCAAATATTCCTATTTGATAATTTTTCTATGATAAAAGTCAGACTTTCAATTTTTTTGGCCTAACAAGTGCTATATATGCTTTCTTCAGATAAGGAATATGGATCGGCAGAAATTCAATCTCCAGAGGATAAACTAGTGAAAAAGAAAGTCAATAATCATCAATATAATAGTGAAAGTAAGACAGCATGCAATCGGATATTTTATTCGACAGTTTTTTTTTCCCCGAATAATTAGGATTTCGTTGACTTCGTGTTCTGAAAATGGTTCGCTATCTAGAAACAGAAAAATGAATACAATATTCATGTACACTTGTTTGTTGTTTGGCATTTAAAATTGTTGATTCTAGATCCCCACCATCGCCCAGGTTTCATATTTGATTAACGTTATCTTATGCAATGAATGGATCCAATCCAATCATCCTATAACTTGTCCACCTCCAGTTTTGCTTGAATAATCAAAAATTAAATTTTAATACCATACGTTAATTAATGAATTTATTTATTTTCTACGTTTGTAGCAACACGCAAAAAAAAAAAAATGGTGCTCATACTTTTAGTTTTAGAATTAGAATGGTCTTAATTGCATCTGTAATCGAAGAGGTTCTAGATAGATTGCCTTTCATTGTTAAATTAAAAAGAAATTTGCAGATGCCTTTCGACAGCAATTTTTTTTGCCAGTTTTTGTGTTAATAATAATGGGGATAACATACCTTTTAGGACATGAACATGAATACCAATATAAATATGTGATATAAAATTTTAAAAATATTGCATTATCCATATTGCACTGTACAATTTGAATCATTTCATTTTGTTATATTTATATATATCTAAATAATAATTTTTATTATATATATAAATAATATACCTTTTATAAATGTTATAAATTAATGTTTGAATTATTAGTTAGCAACATCGAAGTAAATTATTATTACTAGTTTATTACCATAAAAACAACATCATAAATAATAAGAGTAAAACGCATATGATTTTTATCAAAAATAATGATTTTTGAATTCTTAGCTTTTTATTTAAAATTTTTAAAGTTTTTTTAAATTATCAAAAGATTTAAACAGGTTTTAAAAAAAAGTGAGGGAGCCAAAAACCCAAACTATTTCTTAGTACTATTTTCTTAAGGCCCAACCCATGATAGAAGTGAGCCATTTCCGCTTGCGTCTCGCGTGGCCTGCTGGCGTGGAGGAACGGTCTCAGCCGCAAGGTCGCGTGTTCGAGACGAGCACAAGAGAGAGCCTGAGAGAATCATAATAAGTGAGCCATTTCTTGTGACATGCATCAGTGCTTTGTGCTTTTCATGCAAGAAGTGTTTGGAAGGTCTCCGAAACAGATACATTGTGGATCATTTTACTTAGATTTTGATAAATTGTCTTTTTATAAAAATAATTCACACGTGAGAAAGATAAGAAAATTAATAAATACCACCGGTCGCAATAACCTGTAGATATAAAACTTTAAGATATAATATTTTTTAATTCAGAACTGTATACTCCTGCCTAAAATCATTGAAAAAAATATATTCATCAGATAATATTGATGTCACGATGAGAATCTAGCTAGCCTGCATTGTGCAGTACTAATGAACAGAACCAAAAGGAAAAAGAAAGGAAGTTGATATGAGGAAATGAACTAGGGATTAGATTTCCAAGACTTGGCCATCTCGAAGCCATTCCTAAACAGACGAAAATCTTCCATGGCTTCCTCTATCTCTGACTCTGTGCTCATCACAAATGGTCCCCTCTGCGCCACTTTCTCCTTCACCGCCTCTCCACCTACCACCACCAACCTCATCCTCTTCTCCCCCGACTTGTTCCACACCCTCACCCCATCTCCTCCGCCCAGCACCGCCACCTCCTCCGCCGCGATGGCCTCTGACGTCTCACACCCCACCACAGCCTCTCCTTCGATCACGTACACGAAGTAGTTCCACCATGATTCCGGGGTCCTCAAATGCACCTGTGAAGCGGGCTTCACAGTCACGTCCAGCATCATGATCGGAGTCTTGCTCCACACTGGAGCTTTAACCCCTAATGCTTCTCCCGCCAAAACCCTAATTTCTGCTCCATCTCTCTCCACGCTCGGTATCTCCTTGCTCACAACCTCTCGGCACCGAGGTTCAATCCTGACGCATGCATGACGATGACTGATGAGTATATATACATGTATAGTTAATAAACGAAAATATAGTGATGACACACACACACACACATTTTATGTTTGGAAGATAAATTGATCCAGAGCTGAAGTCCTGTGTGTGTTCCTTCTTCTGCCGGCATTTCGGAGTGAACTATTCCTCTTCCTGCCCTCACCCACTGCATCCACCACCACGTTTGTTTCACAAATATCAATCTTACACACACACACGTATCTTTGTTATTATTTAGTATATCATTGTGTGTATCATTGTGTGTACTAGATCATTATTGCAATCACTAAACTAAATGACAAAAGGGCAATCCAAGATACTACGTCCGGTCCTATTTATAAGAACTAGTTGACTAATTTGAAGAGATTAAAAAAAGAAGTTAAACTAGTTATTTGTAATAAATAGATATTATCTTTTCTAAAATATCCTTACTAATTAAGTATATTGGCTAGAACTACTATTGTTAGAAGGACTATATTGAAAAATATATATAAATATGAGATAAAAAGTGGATTGGAGTCTTATATTTAGAACTAAAATAAAAGTCAAACAAGATCTTATATTAAAAACCAGAGGTAGTAGTTGATAACACACCTGAAGGTCCCCGGTTCTTAAAGTACCCTTGTGCCCACCAAAATCTTGATAGTTTATGGCTCCCTATAATAAATCCACTCAATTAATAATTCCCACTAAAAATTTCCCGCACTCTCTAATAATGATCAGAATTTGTGTGTGTGTGTGTGTATACCTGCAGCATGTAGGTGACGGTCTCGAAACCTGAAGTCAAATCAAAAGATATATCAACAAAATCAATTTCCTTGTTCATGCAGATCATCAAATGAAATAATGAAAGAAGCATTATAATGTTTGTGGGGGGTGTTACGCTAAATTACCTCTGTGGGGATGATCAGGAAACCCTCCAGGTGGAGTCACTGCACAAAAACAATTATCAATACACAGACACGATAAAAATAATCATGCTGAAGTGACATACAAGTCATATAAAACCTATGCATATATTGGCATTAATTATGTACCTGAGAAGTGAATCAACATCACGAATGGATCCAGACAGTCCAACTCTCTTTTCAGGATCGCAGGTTAGAAACCAAAAGGGAAAAAAAAATCATGAATATCCATCGAGAATCGCAGATTCAAGTGTCAAGAAAGTAAATAAGGTTGAGAAGGAGAGAAAATCATATAAAGAATGTGGCAGAGCACTACCTTCCAAAGCCTCTGAGAAGAGCTCCATTGGATTCCAGGAGGGACTTGGCTAAAACCTTCTTCGCAACCAGTCTTGGTGATTCTAATAACATGATGCCCTTGTGGGCTTCTCTCTAGATCTTGGTTTCTGATCTTCTATCTCTGGGAATGTCGACTTGAATTGCAACTGTATATGCACGTAGGTGTGTATATATAGTCGCCATTGTTGATTGGGATGGTCGATGTGACTAACAGTGTGAAAAGGGGAGATGAGAATTTGGAAATAGTTTAATGGAGAGGATCACGTACATTAGGGTGGCAAATGGGAATGCAGCTTCATTTCATATGGACAAAATCATATTTAATAATGGCCATTGCAGTACTGTCATTAAATCTCTTTAACGTGCACCAATTTGTTTTTTCCTTTTGGCTTTCTTGGGGATTGGATTTGTAAGAGTACTCCGAATGATTGATTCCCTTTGACTAGTTTGGAGAGCCTACATTATCTTTTTGGATTCTCACCACCTTCTGTGGTGTGTTTCCTACTCCATTTTCTTTCTTTTCTCTGTCATCTTCTTCAGCATTCTTCTTATTACTGAGCTTCTCACTCACAAAAGACAAAAAATTAATAATAAATAATATTTTCTTCCTTGAAGAAATAGTTTTTCTATGCTAACCTTAAGCTGCTACATCGATCGGGGGCGATCCCATTTATTGACAAAGAAATTGAATAGCTTAGCAAATTATGGAAGATGTTCAATGACATTTATTCTCTCCTTAATAATAATCATCCATGCATGGAAAGAGAATGAGACAAGAAAAATACTTGGGAAAAAATAAAACAATTATCAGTTAATTTGATTTGAATTTTTTAGTAGACAGGGTATAAATAACGGAGCACTCTTGATATGTCTAATAATTTGTTGTGAGGATTAATTGGAAGGAGATTAGTAATAAATATGAGGATAAGATTGAAAACAACAAGATAATTTTATTTATTATTTTATGCTTGGTGCATTAGTCAGAATATATTGCCGAAAGGTTTTATTCTAGTGATCGGCCTCAATTATCTCGACACTGTTTGCTTGCTGGGTAGCCCTATCAATTATTAATTAATTAAGATAAATAGGGTCAGCAATTATTGTATGGATCGTTTCTCATTTCCACGGCCCGATGGCCGACCACTTCGTATCCATTTTTTTAATTTTATTTTTAGTCAGAACTTCATATTTTATTCATACAAGTTGCATTTCATTCGTTGTTTTATTCTATTCATATATCCACAGAAAAACAGTACGATGAATATACTCGAGTAGGCGTTGCCGGCCAGCTGGGTATGAGTTTTTGACAGTATTTAAGCTCCAAAAAATTGCACTCCTTCCCTTTTAACAAAAATGTCAATCTTATCGCTTTCCAATGAGACAGGGAAATTACGTCTTCCCATTTTCATATCTATTATATTTATCAGGGGAAAATATGAAATAAAATTATAGGCAACTTTAATGATGTAACTAGCCTTTTTTTGTTTAAAAAATAGTCAAAATTAACTTATATTATAAATTGAAAAGCGAGAAAAAGTAGTTACAAGTGAAAAGGATTGATCATTGACAGCCAAAATGCAGATCTGTAAAAGCACTTCCAACTCTATTGTAGTGTGAATGGTCAGCAGGCATTACGAGTCTGGTGAACTTATCTATGTTTTTTTTTCCCCCGGTCAACTGAACCTTTTTGTGTTTAAGTCAATGATTTTGGTGGTCCTGGCTAACCACTAAGATTGCTTCTACATGCATATTCATGTCGGTAATCAAGGATGTTCAAATGACGACGTTTTTCACTGTCGTGGGACCAACTAATTACTGCCCACAGCCATCAATTATATAGAGTTCAACAGCCTAACTTCATTATTAATTTAATTACTAGTATTACTATGAATGTTTCACCACCACAATGACTATTTTTTCTTTTTCTTGGGATAAGAACAAGTAACAACAGGGGAAAAACCCAGTAATGGGGAGCCCCATGTAAATTGGATGAGATGGTGATTGCTAAATCACTATATTCACACATGAGCTCTCTGTCTCATCCACTTGGTGGCCGACCACTTCTCACCAGAGAGAACTTCACACCCCCCATGCACACTGCTTGGACTCGATTGTCCATCCAATCCCTGAAGTTACCAGCCAAAACATATCAAGTTGGTTGCTTGGTAAGGTGAATTAGATTTGGTAAATATGGACACATGATTATGCCCTTTGACTTCAAATGAATTTAAACTTGGAAGATAACAGATGGGGACAGTGACAGAAGAAAGTAATGGAATTGTTCATCTATCATACTGCTCCTGATAATCCTATTTAATAAGAAATTAAAGAACTAACCATACTCCAGAACAGCACTGCATTTCCTTTGATTGGTTTAACGGAAAGTCCTTGGACAATTTTCCCCCCACAACTACACTGGCCCGAACCAGCCTGCAATTATTGCACATTAAGTCATCAGTGCGGCGACAAAGTTCAACCGTGTGCTGAGTAATAAGAGATCCAAGATAAGCTTTGGAGAAGATCAAGGAGCTACAGAAATCCAAGTTGTTATAAGGGAATGAATGACTACTTTTGTCTAACATTTCTCATTTTTCAGCAACAAAAGGAGACCAGCGTGCTATGGGATGCTTAGTCCATATTGAGAAGTGTGTTTTATAGGATACTTGAATAATTGTTCTCCCGCTACAATAGCTAACTTTCGGAGAATAATTACACACTTCACTTAGGTGCCTACAGCAAATAAAGAAACCCACATGGACAAAAAAGTAGCAAATCATCAACTGGAGGAGAAAGAAAAAACAGGATTTTCAAATGTGCTAGAAGGATGGAAGATGATATCGAATGTTTCAGAAACTTGAAAGATTGGAAAACAAACGTTTTGCAATATCGCATTCATCATAACAAAATTCTCTTATCTCGGCTAGAACCCAGAATTATGGCCAAAACATGACCTGCAACAGCCTCCCAGTTCCTGTTAATAACAGGCTACCCACCTGCTTCTTGTGCTTCCTAGGCATTTGTATACAATGCCGAACGAACTAAATTTATAGAAGGTTAAATATTCTGATGCATAAAGTTTTCCATACCATTGGGAAATATGTTTCTCCTCCCTCAACATTATCACTTAAATACATAAGCATTGTTGCTATTCGCTGGCCCCCACGCTTCAAGTTGAACTGCATTGGAAATGAAAAAGAGAACACAAGATGGCAAATATGTTTTTAAGTAAAGGCACTTCAAGGCAATTCTTATGCTTAATGAGATGTCGAAAATTCCATAGAAAGCAATATAACTCACAGTATCAGAAAAATAGTCATGATGGGGTTTGTAATACTGATTCTTCTCATACCTGTACTGCTGCAGATGTTAGCCTAGATATTAAAAGAAAACATCTTTCTTGTTCAGAATTCAAGGTAATCCTCACCTTAGAACTTGCATTAGCTCTCCATTTTCAACTGGTACTTGAGAATAGATGGAAATTCGCTTTTCAATTGCCTAGTTATGCAAGGTGAAGATGATTTAGACACTTCAGCAAAATGTTCAATAAAACCTAACAAACCTTGACATCTGATTCCCATAACAAAACAGCCATTTGAGGGCTTTAAATTGGCAAAATATTTGTCCCTAAATTTTCTTATCTATACTCATACGGAGTTGAGTTCGAGATGGCACATTAGACCTTGTTCACAAGTGACCTATATCTCATACGAGTTTCATCATTGTTATAAAGATTCTTTCTTCTTCAAATTTGTCTATTACACTGTTTCAAGCACTAAAAATAATCACTTTTTTTAATGTCCAGAAGGATTTACAATAAACATACAAATTATAAATATCTTCCGTGAAACAATTGAAAAATAATTTAGGTAAAGAAGCTTACTTGTATCATGGGATATTTTCTCTCTTCAGCACTCAGAAACATACCAGAGCTTGTCCTGACATCACTCTTGATTCCCTGTAGAAGAGGTAAATGCGTCGGGATTCTAATGAAGGCGTTCAATAACTTCAAGTGCCAAGCATACACTCCAAAAGGATACTAAAAACTAAATACCACAATTCCTTTTGTATAAGGCCATAATAAGAAAAAGAATAAACTTGTCGACAATAGATTAAATTCTTAATATGCTTCCGATTATTCCTTCTCCCTTCCAACAGATAAGAGGTAAATTTAACCTCCGCCAGGTGTCTACTGAATAAAGTTAAATAACCACCAAAGTTTATGGGTGGCAAGGGTCAAGCAACGCAGATGATGAAAAATAATCAAAGTGCTAGAAAAAGTCAATATACCTTCCCCGTTTTTGCATCCACCACTGTTGAAACATGAAGGCGAGGGAGGGCTATAGCCCTAAGATAATCACATTCCTGTAAAAGCAATATAATTTTCAATAACATTTCTGCAGGTTGTACAACTCAATGACTTTACTGAGAACCTGAATTTGTGAAAAGTGCTTCCAAGATCGGCAACCAATGATAACTTTAAAATCCATATCAGGATTTAATTTTGTTTTCACAGGTAAAGATGGTTAAAGTGAAATCGATGCATGTCATAGAGAAAATGGTCGGACTATTAAAGCTGGGTCCATAATGTTGAATCTCTGCTCTATATATATAAGCGCAACAACCATTATCACTATGTGAATAAAGGAAAATTCAGCAGTCAGGAGTAAAGATTACCTCCATGCTCAGAAAGTTATGTAGTAAAATAATCCGCGGTGACCAGCTAAGCACTTCAGGTTTCACCTATATCAAAAAGTACATAGCGCAAGAGAATAGCTGAGTAATCAACATGTTTTATGCATGCAAACTATGTCTATTCCCTAAATCATGTGAAAGGATTTGACTCCAAATAAAATGGACCCAAAAACAAAGACACTATGAGTGAGAGGGGATGCAGAGCAAACGGTTGGTTTAATGTTAGTACACTCCATTAGTCAGGGAGGAAACACATAATACAGCTAGATGACATTAGTCAGCAAGGAAGCACATAGTACAGCTAAATAACAAGGTTTAACGAAAAAAGAAAACATATGCATCAACCGGGCCAAAAAATTAAGGCTTGTTCAAGTGTAAGTACTCAATTAAAGCCAAGCCAAGCCATCTATATATGGTATTTTGCTTTCCTGATTAAATTTCAAATCTTTAGCTCAATATACCTACAATCACCTGATATATTTCCCTAAATACTTTATTTGAAGCAAGCGACTAAATAACAGCAGCGATGCATGCAACAGACAGAAAGGGGGGGATTGACTCACATATCCCAGACGCAAGGCTTCTGCTTCCTTGTCATCATTCCAAAAAGGTAGACCTGATAATAAGAACAGGCTATTGAAAAGGAGATGTATAGAAAGACTACCAATCGTGAGCTAATAACATCTATGAAAACAGCATCGCATAGTAAAAGCCATGTGACTGACAGCACCAATATTCAATAGCAATATATTAGGAATGAAGTAAAAAAGAAACTAATTAGTAAAATTTAATAAAATAGTAAGGCACATATTCCAAATAAAACTTAAAAATGATACTGACCTCTGGGCAACTTAAGATAACCATCACCCTGAAATCCACTCAATCTTCTATATGCCAGAGATTCCGTGCCTAAAATGAATCAGTTAGGCCAAAATGAGGAACACAACGCAAATCAAATTTATCACATTCTAGATCTAGGCCTGATTAGTGATTGCCACAATAAGATTATTATATCTAGTTAACAATTTTTTATGATAGTATTAGTTAACAATGTGCTAACAAAAAGTTATAATCCATTACTCCCCCCATGAACTCTCTTATCCCACAAATAAGTGCAAGCATGAAAGCTCGATGGCCAAAAAAGGCTGGCCCTAGAAGAACCTGAGATGAACGCCAAACAGAAGCTCCCAAACATTATCCTCGCCTAAAAACATCTAAAGACAGAATTCTTAAACAAAATCAATTAAAACAAGCACCGACAAAGAAACCACCAACAAACAAGCATCTTGAAGAGGTCCACCTAAAGAGAACAGATTTGACACACAATGCCATTAACACTAACCTCAGACATGCCAAACAATAATAGAAAACTAAACATTGAAATTACGTAAAAGGACAAACACAGGCTTCAACAACTTTAACATTCTTAAGCCATAATATGGCATAAACTAAGTGCAAATACATACCATATGAGTCTTCTAACTTTCGTATGAATGCTAATTGAGAGAGAGCACCTGTAACCATAGAAAAAGAAGTCCACTCATGATTCAGTCTTTCTTAAAACTCTATTCATCAATCATTAGAGGGTACTAACATACATCACTCTAATTTTGCAAAATTGTAACCAACATGGATTATCATAACTGTATACGTTAATCTCCTCGAAAGATCATGTAGGCACTCAAATTTAACATGCAGTAAATTCATATAGAAACAACAATCAACGTTCAAAGAGATACCTCCTATTTTTCAACAAACTTAACAAACTATACAGCTATATGTCCGAACATAACCGATAAATAAAATTTGCAAATCTTCCATCCAATGCACCAGTCTCCGTGTCAGAATTTAGAACTACTAGCAAAGCCAGAGGCAGAAACAGGTCCGGACTATTGATCTGCTCAGACCTCACGAAAACCCAGTCTACAGTTTGAACTGTACTTAAAAAGGTATCTGAAGCAGAACTTGGATTGGTTGCAAACGGACAAGTACTTTATATCGACTCAGAATTCAGACAAAAATTGGATTTGCTGTGTGAAGCGTACACACTTAGTGTCTACCATTTCTTTCACAAAAGAAAAGATAAATGAAGGCCTTTCAGACCATGATCTTGAAAAATCACAATATCAAAATCCTAGCCCAAATCTTCTTTATCAGTTTGCCTACCACAGCCAACAGAAATATCCCCAACATCATTAATCAGCCTTGGAATACGGGTCTTGAAAAAAATGAGGCATCCCAGGCCCCCCGTTTTATGGAGGTATGGACGTGAACATCTATATATATATATCAAAGATACCACAATGTCAACATGAGCTGTACCCGAAAATCTCTTGTCACCTGTTTCCTGGGTCAACATGGAGTGTCATATTCTGACCATGAAAACCCCAACTTGAGGTTACTGACAAACAATTAGTTGAGATCTTTCATTTGAGAATGATCATTACCGCCAAAGCAATCTTTCGTATCAATTTTATCTCTTTCTATCGGTCCCCCCATCATAAAAGAGCTATTTCAGGTTAAAGCGACCCCGTGTGGTCGGAGGAAGCACTATGCATATTGAAATGTCACAGGATCGGGCTAAGATTGTAATGTTACATCAAAGGGGAATCTGTCCTATTCCATTTTGGGATGGTACCAAACGAATTTCAGCGGGTGGATTACCTAAAAGCGTTTGACCGCGGAAATCAAACTGCCATAAAAATGGGAAATACAGAGCAAGAAAGCAAAAACAGAGCTAAGAAAATTTGCAGCACCTATAATCATTCCGACTGTGACAAATGTGAGGAGCCCAAACACGATCTTCATCGAGGGAGCCATGGAGTAGTTGCAGGAGCGGAGAGCGAGAGGCGACGCTGAAGGAAGGAAGACTTGGAAAAGAGGGTGAGCGCGAAAGGAGCAGAATTTTTCTTCAGTCCTGGGCAAGGCAAGGAAGGGTGCGCGTTTTGAAAAACATGAAAGCGCTGGCCACAAGTGTCAGTTCCTGATTGCGTTACATATGTATTTTCACCCTTTGATGCTCGTACTGATTATAACAGTGTAGTACTAACTATATGATTCATGTGATTGTTACTGTAAATTGAATTACTTTTATAATTATATAACTATTTAACCAAATAGACAATTTAGGAAGAATCCAAATTTATGTAGTTCTTGTCCCTTCATTCTTGCTGCTCGTGAAGGAAGGAAGGAAGGAGGAACTCCATTTTTTCCATAGGAATCCAATATTCCAATTTAATTATGCCTCCATCAGCCAATTAACCGACGGCATTGATCAACAACAAATTATGAAATTTAGAAATCACAAATATTTTTTTTGTGTATTAAATAAATTTTATTCGCTGGTTAGAAAAAAAATAAAAGTTATTCGAAATTGAAAGCCCAAAAAGTCAAAAAGACAATATAACAGGCCTTTTTTTTTTTTAATAATATACATGTTAGCTTACAGGTTGTTGGTCCAAAAACTTGTGGAGGCTAGGATATCAACATGGGCCCAGATCAAGGACCAGCAGTTTTGGGTCATTGCTTGGGCTTTCAAGTTTCTTCTTTGTTAGGCCCAGATCAGGTGAAGGTTTATTTGTCCCGGCCCTGTCTTGTCTTCTAATCATGGAAGGAGCCCAATTGTGTAAAGCGATTTCTTTGGGCCTTTAAGTTAAGAGGAAGTTATAACTGTTGGGCCTCCATGCAATACTTATGGAATTTGTCTGGGCTAAACGGGCCTTACTAGTACTCAGTCACGGTAGGGCCTTGATTTTTGAAAGCCCGCTGTTTTTGTATTTGTTGAAGCCCGCGATAAATAGACTTCAGCTTATCATCGTCTTAATATTTCATATGATATATGCATGCATTTAAACCAAGTTTCACCAAATTATAAACCCAAGAAGGAGGGTAGAATTGATTGGTTTCGTTGAACTTGGAGACGCAGTTTAAAAACAAAAAAACAAAACGAAACGAAACAAAGGAGTTTGGGGAGTCTTCATAATGACAGTTAACGAATTAGTTAAGTGTTAGGTTATAGTGAGAATATTAGCTGATGTTATTGGAGTTGCAGGCTAGAATCCACTCCGGCCCGTGATTGGGGAATGAATACTCTCAGTGGACAGGAATTGGAAGCTTCTATTCTAATCATTGCGCGGAATAAAGATAACCCAAAAGCCCATGAGATTAGATATTAATTGATGTGTTAATTGTGCAGCAGTGAGGGAGTTTACTTGGTCATAGGGTTCAGTTAGGAGTTAGGCAAATAAAATCATCACATACATGTACTTGCGGGTTAAAATCCACTTAACCTGCCAATGGATTGAGGCAAAACAGAGGGATTTCTCGAATGAAATAATTGCCCTCTCTCTCTCTCTCCCACTTGGCACTCATATAGAATTAGTCATACATGGCTGCGACGAAATAGAAATATATGCTGGGTTTGCCCAGTGATTCCTCAAAAGAAGAGCAGGTTTTGAAAGAAAATGTGAGAGTTATGGAAAAGATGATGATAGGGAGAGGCATGTGAATCTTGCTCTCTGGTTTCCCATCTAACATGCTTTATCGTCTCAATCTTCATACAAGCAATCCGAAAGTTGGTAACCTATCTATCAAAATTATCATGACACTCTTTGACTCACACTTTCTTGGAATACTTCCCAAACCAGCCGCTCTCAAACATCCCCTCTTTTTATTATAGCGTCTGTGCATATTTAACTAACCACGCAAATTAAACATCCTTCAAGATCAATTACATTGTTGAAATATATATGGTGGTGGGAAGAGTATAATTAGAACCTCCCATCGATTAGGAAGATATTTATGATTATTTTTATTGACATTTTCGTTATCGTTTTTAATTCCTGATTGAGCAACTATTTTGTTTTAATTTTGAATCTATATAATTTTTTGTTATTTTCATTTAATTTGAGGATTACACAATGTTTTCTCATTAATTTTTCAGATTAGTTAAGACCGATAAATAGCAACTCAACATACTTATTTTATACGCTTTTGAATGAATTGAATTTGTTATTGTTTGCTTCTCTCTAATAAATAAGGAAAAAAAATGAAACGAACACGAAACTGACTGGAGTAGTAGTGTAAGAATCAGGAAAATATAATAATATTAATAATCACTAATAACAAAATACAAGAAAATACAGCAACAGTTTGACTGTAACAATAACAAAATACAATAACATTGAGAATCTTTTTCTCTATGATTCCTCGGTAACTAAAATTGATAGTCATTGATGTCAAGATCATCATTAAAATTTAATAGAATATGTTTTTAGTCATTTAACTTTATACAATATCTCAATTCAATTTCTTAACTTAAAAAAAAGAGAGTATATTTTGGTATTTTAACCCTAAAATTATTGGCAAAATATATGATATTAAGATCTTAAGTGTTGATAAAATATTTTCAAATACTAACATATCAAATTTAACTTTCAAAAAAATCATAATTATTACAAAAAAATCATCGTTTATGACTAATAATTGTAGGGTTGAAAAACTAAAAATATTTTTTTAAAGTTAATGGACCAAACCAAAATATTATAAAAAGTTAAAGGATTAAAAGTATAATTTTAGCCTTGAAATTCATTCAAATCTACATGATTAAGATATTATGAGCTAAATAAAAAAAATTAGAACCAATAGCAAAATAATTATCTAAATAGATTTCATCACTAATTTTCATCGATTCACCTTGATTTAACTGAATTTATTCCGGTTCAATCTATGGTCAATTTAACATTCAAAACTAGACCAAACTATTGGCCAATTCACTGGTTTTTCCGGATAAACTGGCAAGCTTGATTTGGTTTTTTGTCTATTGCTAATAAACAAGTTTTTTATTCTCCATAAACATCTCTCTCCCTCTGATTTCTCAAATCACGTCAAAATTTATTTGTCATGTACAATAAACTATAGAATCTCTCTTTAAAAAAAAAACAAAAATAAAAAAGGAGCAGCAACCTAGTTGCGTGACTTATTTTGGTAACTTAGTAGTGATGTATTTTAGGAAAATTAACGAAGCATATATGAATATTGTCGATGATTAGGTCCCCCCATTAAGCTGCATCGATGTGACAAATATATGCATATTGTATTAAAAGAGCGGTGATGATTGCTGAAATGGCTAACGCAATTTTTTTATTGTTTTATTTAATTATGATTATATGATTTGAATTATTTTAGCATATCGCGCCCAAAGATTCATAGACACACAAATCACAAACATCATGTCCAAGTGATTCGCTTTTAGAAGAATGAGATAGTTAGATGGAACAAGAGAAAAAAACTTGATTATTTAATTCATCAATTGAATATATATATGTAAGATTGGAATGGAAACTATAATTAAGAAGGGGAATTATTATATTTAATTTGACAAAGGATGAGTCACTGATAAGGACGTGAGGCATCAGCACTGTGTGGGCAGCCACCAGTGGAACAGTAGTGTTGAAAAAATAATGGTAACAATGGATAATTATTAACTATGAGTCAATATCCTCATCATTAATTATTCATTCCCTCAACAAAAGATATATAATGGAAGTCAAAAGTCAATCCCGAGTTAAGGAACATTCAACTCGTGAAAATATATGGTTTGAAATTCCAGGACAAAAAATGTTTAAAATATTAATTTTGATTAATTAGCTCAGTGTTTTGTTGGTTTGTAGGGAAGGGAGCGACATTATAATATAATTTTCTGTAAATGGAGGCAATTAGCATATATTTGTGGATCCTATGTAGGCTGACCACATACAAAATAGTACTCATCTGATCCTTAATATAAAATTTATTTAACTAATTTGATTAGATTAAAAAAGTTAGGTAAGTTAGTTAATTATAAGAAACATAATATGTTTCTTCTAAAACATCATAATCATCTTTCTTAATATTATTCCTCCATCTTTTATTTGACTATGGTCGAGAGAGCATCCATTAAGAGTAATTTAGAAAAAATCAATAAATATAAAAAATAGGTTTTATATTTAGGATCAAAATTAACTCAATAATTATGTCTTATATTAAAGACCGGAGGAGTAATTAACACATCACAAATTATATATGTTGCCTTCTCATAATTTCAACCCTTTTGATTATATTTCTTGGAATCTTGCAATTCATTGCTGCGTTTACACCACGATATTGGAATTATTTTCAACTTAGTTTTTAAATTCATCTGATAAATTTTAATTTGAAAGGAAGAAATATAATTTTTCATACTCAATGCTCATCATGTTTATTAATTGCTTATTTAAAAATAAAATCTCCAATTTTGCAAGAGAACATTAAAAAAAAAAATACAATTCACACTTTTCTGAGATTTTTTTAACCAAGTTTAATTTAATTTTTTAAAAAAAGAAAATAGTCGTACGTAGTGGTTAAAGATTTCAAAATTAAAAGATTGAAGTCAAATTGCCAAATAAAATGAACTCATGTGTGTATGTATATATATAATTTAAATCTGACTTTGATATTTGAAATACAGTTTTATTCTGTGAAAAATACATATATGTGCATCGTCAGCTTATTTATAAATAAAATTCCTTATGAACGCAACGTATATAGCGGCTGCCATGTGACATGCAGCTGACTATTTCGTGATTTTTTTTATTGATTCAGACTAACATAAAATTAATTATATATAAGGTTCCATCAATATATATTATTATTTTTTATTATATAGAGATTTATTATTATATTTGCTGTACGTACTATCGTATGAATTATCTAACTTCTCACGCGTTTCCTCTCGCTCAGTGAACATGGATAGCTTTGAAAATAGCTGATTTCGTAAAAGACACTCTCAATAAAAGCCTAAAAGCCTCATATACTTAGAATTAAAATGATTTGTTACGAGGCGTTCATACCCCTTAATTATGGCCCTCCAAAAAAAACTTATATATAAAACATTATTTTATTTCATTTTATTTTAACTGATCTCTTAATTTTATGACA